GAGCTAAGAGGTGTAATGCAAGGAGTAGAGGTATTTGAGTTTAAAGCTATATAGTAGATGAGATTAAATAGCAGCACAAGTGAAATGGAAGAGTTACAATTGAGACCTGCTCTGATGTACCACTGACAGTGGTACTAACATAAAGACCGAAGGTGGAGCTGGAGGCAGCAGAGCTGAAGATGCTAAGATTGGGATTGAGCGGGGTTGACAGGATTAGAAATGAGTACATGAGAAGAAGAGCTCAAGCTGGGCGATCTGATGACAAAGTTAGAGAGGCAAGGTGGAGCTGGTTTGGACATGTGCAGAAGAGAAGTAGTGGATATATTGGACAAAGGATGTTGAATATGGAGAGACCAGGCAGGAGGAACAGAGAAAGGCCACAGAGAAGATTCATGGATGTAGTGAAGGTGTCATGACGTGCTCTGAGGCCGGCAGGATAGGACCCAAAATGCAGGACTGAGACAGAATTAAACCTGAAGGCAGCTTTATTGGTGGGTTTACAGGTAACAGGACTAAAACTGAGAAGACACTAGGCTGGCAGAACACACAGCATTGAGAGAGATCATGACGAGGAACAGAAGGAAATGCAGACAATATACACACACAGTGAATCAGGGCAAAGAGGAAACACTTGGGGGACACAGCTGGATGAGACAGGGGAAGCAAAACTGAACATGATGCACACAGGACATGTGACTGTCAGAATAAAACAGGAAGTAGGAAAAAGAGACGCAGACTCACACACACAGCTTGACGTGGGAATACAATAGCAGACACATGGCAGACGGACATGACAAAGCTGAAAGACAGAGAGAGCCAGGAAGCTGAGACAACAGAGAGTGAGCTGGAGAGCGAGGGACAAGTAAGACAGAGAGGGAGACAGATGCAGAGAGAGAGGGAGCGAGAAGGAAACAGAAAAAGAGCGTCATTATAGACAACACACCGGGGATGAAGGGGAGGACACAGCAAGGAGAGACTAAGACAGAGCGGGCACAGAAGGGAACAAAATTAAACAAGAACTAGAAACATAACAAAACTCAAAGACTCTCCAAACTAAACTTTAGTATCTCAAAAACCTGCAAGAAATGAACAAAAGACTAAGCAAACTTAAAACCCTGAAGATGGATATGAAGAGTGCTGGTGTGCCAAATGAATGAATGAATGAATACCTGCTTTGGGATGATTTTGGAGAGTGTGTGAAAATGTCAGACAGACTAAAATTTGATCTATTTTACATTTTCAAAACTTGCTTCACAGTTTGTAAGCAAATGAAAATATTTCAGCTGTTAAAAAAATGTGGAAACCGTACAAGTCAGTTTTTGTGAAGAAAGCGTATGTCTTTGTGACACTCTGCAATCAAATGAAAGGAGCACGTTCAGTAGAAGGAGGTGACTCCCAACATCTGGGAACTGGCTGAAAACTGGCAATTTAGTGGGAGCAACAATTTTAGCTGTGCCTGTAAGCGATAGACACAGCTATTGCACTTGTTGCTCTGCTTCCATGTTATTTTGCAGACTAACAGTGCTGTAGTATCTTTGTTTAGAAATGGCTCTAAACTAAAGTATAGAGAACGTCAGTGTCAGCACTATGTGATCCCTGCAGATTTATATCCGAGTCGTTCAAAGGCTGATGTTGCTTTAACATTCATTCGGTGTTCCTCTTCTCTCTTCTCTTCATTCACCTCTCACCTTCTTTCCTTTCCTTCATTTCCCTTATGAAATTCAATCCAACCATCCTTCTCGCCTCCGTGTCCTCTTCCCGCTTCGCCTCTTGGCCAGGCCGGGCCACTCTGTATGGCAAGTCCTCCCTGCGGATAGAGGATGTGCGTTCAGACGACCACGGCTGGTATGAGTGTAAGGTGCTGATGTTGGAGCAGCAGTATGACACCTTCCACAACGGCAGCTGGGTGCATCTAACTGTCAACGGTAAGAAGCATCTGACATCATGCATTATTCAGGCGGTTCAGTGTAAAGTCAGTGTGAAACAATAACTGAAGAGACAGTACAAGTACAAAGGAGTACAAAGTCATACCTTTGTTGTGTATGTGTGAAATATTATTACCTTCTTATATAGACTTTTTTACAGTCTTTGAAGGAATTGCGTTACACTTGTCGATGGAAATCCAAGATTTCAAATTGTTCTTGAGCTGAAGAAAGATGCACATTTAACACAAATTGATACAAATGACTGTCTCTTGACATTCACAAACTCAAACTCAAAGGCAGACAAAGTAACAAAAATGATTCTGCTTTTCTTTATGTCTCAGAAATAAAAGAAACAGGTTTAACATAAAAATATGAAAAACATTTCTAAAGAGATGCACACTTAATACAAAGACATGTAAAAAAATACCAAAGACAGGCAAAGCAAACTGGAACTCACATGAAAAACGACTGAAAAAGGCACAATGCAGTCAAAACAACTATGACAAAAGTACAGAGGTACAATGAGACACAAATGGATGAAATGGAAAAACAAATTGAGCAGAAATAGAAACAAACTGAACAGATCAACCCTCAAAGATGCAAAATAATGAATGCAAATCAATAAGTCTTTTAGATGATTATTTCTTAGCCTGTGGATGCACTGAACACATAAAAGAGTGTTTGCATAACAGATGCTGAAATGCCTAATAATGTAGATTCTGTGGATAGGCTGCATGTGCTACATCTTTAATGCAGCACAAGGGTTAGAAGTAAACCTAATAAAGTATTGTAGTACTGTAAATAGGCCACTTTGAAGATATCAATTTTAAATCTTTTATTTTAAAGGTACAGTCAGTCATTCTATTTGGTTAGTTCATAGAAGAAAAGATCATATTGTCCCCATGAATATACCAATAATAGGCAAAGGTCGCTCTCAGGAGCTCAGTGAACTCCAGCATGATACTGTGGTAGGATGTGACCTGTGCACAGTCATTTGGTAGAGATATTTTGTGATATTATAAAAATCACAAAACGGGGTCTGTGGATGCTGAGGCACAGAGTTTAAAATCCAGCAAGAAACTTTTTGATGGCTACCAAAAACATCTGGTCAAGGTGACACTTAAC